CGTCGATGACAGGGCAACCAACTACTGTTTCTGTGAATTCCAGAAGATGGGGCCACTGGGCTCGAGGCGAAAGACGAAGCCTGTCCTGGACCGTCGATTGTCGGGGTCAGCGTGTACGTAGCCGATGATGTTGAAGAATGCGGTTGGGATGGCGGAATAGCAGAGCCCAACATTGGGCATGGAGATTAAGAACTCATGTGCCCGCTGAAGATCCAGGAAAATTTCAGCCGTTGGGTTGCGGGGGTACTGAGCCAGTTGGCTCGCGATGTACGAAAGCTCGGACCTGCAGGTAACAGAGGTGAAGAGTAAGCATCCCAGCTGCTGCTGGTAAGTCTGAAGCCCATCGGGGGATAGGGCTTTGTTGGGTCCTTGTTCGCTGCGGTCTTCACGCGAAAGACCCATTTCCGTGAAATAATTATTCTCCCTTGGATTGCCGCTCGATCGACGAGCACCCAGGTATCGCGAAACTCAAGTGCCTTTATTTCTGCATCCATCGACTCGTGCCATTCCTTGCTATGTGGTCCCGTGAATGCTTGGTGCAGATTCTTTGGCTCGATGACACGTGGCGCCGTTGAGGTGGCGGTGTGAAGCCCAAGAAGCTGAAGTCTAGAGACGGTGCTGTCGTGGCGGTGCTGTGGGATGACCTCCTGCACGTCATCGGCATCGCTCTCTGGTTCAGGTGGTGTTGACGGTGCTATGCCTCTGCCGCTTCCGCTTCCGCCTGCTGCGCCTGCTCCTCCTCTTGGGGAATCGACATCGTTGACGTTGCTGCGGCGATCGCCTCTCGTAAACTCGCCTCTATTATCCTGCTCCAAAATGGCTGCTGCAGTTTCGTCCTCATGTGTGGCAAAGCTGTGCCCGTTGTTGGCGTAAACGCGGTTCGCGTTCGCCTGCTCATCTTCCTGAAATTGCTGGAGGAAGAGCCGCTCGTAGAAGATAACATCGCGTGTGTTCGTGGTCTTTTGGCTCAAGAGGTCCTGGATGAGCCACGCCTTGTGCTCGTGGCTGATGCCGAGGTTAATTCCCCAGTGCGCGCGGCTTGCGAATTTCCCGATAGTTGACGTTGGCGGGCGGTACTGCACCATGCATCCCCACACGTGGAGCATGGATGTGTCGCCCTTGGTCCCGGTCCACTTCACATATGGCGACGAGTTGTCGGTGATGGCCATGGTTGACAGCAGGCTGTGCACTTGCATGGCACGATGCATTGCGTAGGTCCAGTAGATTAGCGGAAGCTTCAATTGCTTCATCAGCGGTTGCACCTTCGTCATGAGCGTACGGTCCGTGCGCTCAGCTACGCCTTGCTGCTGGTGCGCGTAGGGGAGAGAGATGTGATGTTCGATTCCCTTTTTCACCAGGTAATCCTGCAGCTCCTTGCTCCTGAAATCCGTTGCGCCATTAGACCTCCAGATTTTCAACTTTTCCCTGGATTGTTGTTGCGCGTGCGCCAACCATAGGCGAAACACCTCGTACGCTCTGCTGCGCGCCTCCAAGTTCACAATCAAAATGTAGCGCGTTCCAACATCGACGAAGGTGAGCGTGTACAGCTCGTCGTTGATTCCGCAATGGCCCACGTTGAGGAAGTCACTGTACACCTTCTCCAGTTTGGCGTAGTGGTTGGTTCCGGGCTCTAGCAGGAGGAACGGATGGTGACTCAGCGCAGCTTCCGGGCAGACGGCGGAGTTATGCGGATGTGTTGCGCCTTTCACTTCGTTGCCATCAGGGAGCAAGAGTGCGTCTGGTGCGAATACGCCAGCTTCGATGCAATTATTTAACGTTACGCGCAAGGGGTGACCGAGGCGCTGATGCAAGAGGGCATCATTTGTGCAGAATCCAGAGGTGCGCATGTAGCGTGCGCGGACTGCTTCGGTATCTTCTTCTAGTATTGGGACGGGTTCTGCTGCTGCTGCGTGAGCTGCTTCTTCTTCTTCTTCGTCATCGTTCGCCGTGGTTACCATCAGCGCCAAAAACTCTGTGTTGCGAATGACAGAGTAGGAGACATTGGTCCCAGGGATGGTTCCAAGAACAAAGGTTGGTTCGCGCGGCTTGGGGACAGGACCGTAAACGGTGCGCCGCGGGGTAGAGGGCTCGTTGCCCCAGTCGATGGTGTCCTAAGGGTCGCGGTGTGGTTGGATGTCAGGCGGGGGTAGTGCAGGTACAGGACGGGGTGGAGGGTGACCAAGAGGAACAACATAATGTTTCGTTTCTCCTTTGGTCCTCGCTGGAAGCTCCCCAGCCTTCGCTAAAGGTGCCCCAGCCGCTTGTCTCGTTGCCGGATGCGGCGCCCCATCCGCCAGTGTTGCCACCAACAGCGGCTCCCCATCTGCCAGTGTCGCTTGTACCCCATCTACTGAGCGCGTCTAGCAGCAGGTTACCATGGATTTCGTCACAGGGTTACCTTCGAACCCTGGGGGTAACGACGCAGTTATGGTCGTCGTTGACATGTTGACGAAGATGGCCACTTCGGTGCGTGCAAGAAATCGATCTCAACCGAAGAAACCGCTCACCTGTTCATCGCAGCCGTCGTTCGACTACACGGGATACCAGCCGCAATAGCCAGTGACCGCAACACGAAGTTCACCAACAACTTCTCGAAGAACCTTTGGGAGCAGTTCGGGACCAGGCTACAATTCAGCTCGTCATACCACCCGGAGACCGACGGTCAAACGGAGCGGACGAATCAGACGTTGGAGCAGTTGATTCGTGCCACGTGCGACGACCCGACAACTTGGGAGCACCAGCTACCGCTGATCGAGTTCGCGTACTACAACGCCACGTCAGCGACGACGTAGCAGTCTCAGTTCTATCTGAACCACAGACAATACCCTACAGTGCCCATGACGCCGAGTTCGGACAACCCAACGCCACGTGCACAGCAGTTCGCCGAGATTCTGCAAGCTGCCCGCACTAGAGCTGCCGAAGCAAAAAGCAAATGTCATCGCTAAGCGCAACGCTGACCGCCATCGCCGCCCAGTCACGTACCAGTCAGGAGATTACGTACTGCTCGACACTCAAAACTTAAGACTACCCGTCGTACCGAAATTACGACCGCGCTACTGTGGACCATTCCAAATCAACCACATGATCACCCCACTAAGAGCACACTTACTGTTGCTGACAGGCTGGTACATCAGCCCATCATTCCATGTCAGCCTCCTTCGCCCATTCATCCCAACCACGAGCCAACTGCCTCGTCACCGCCCGCCATCGATGACTCGCCCTGCATCGGAGCCAATCATCGAGCCCGAAAAAAATATGAGCCATCGGATTCGACACCCCACGAGAATCGGGAGGATCGAGTTCCTCATTCGCTGGAAGGACCGCACGCCAACTGATGATGGCTGGGTGCCGCTGGCCAACATCGAAAACCACCCTGCCCTGCAAGTGTACCTGAGGAGCCAGGGTTTTTGCAATATACACACACTCGCATAGGGGAGTGGGCTCCTTGAGGGGGGGGGGGGGGGGTGTTAGTGTAAGGAATTTTCTCGACATTCCTTAGCGCATCCTGCACTATCGCGTAGAGCAGCAGTCGCTGTTCGCCCATTAGGGTACATTCCGCTGTGGACACATGTCCCAATCGATGTGTCCCAATCGTTTCTACCGCACTGCATCGTATTACACCAAATTGCACCCTAGTTTTGATTTTTTTCGCGTCTCTGGTTTAGTTCGGTTCGGAGCGGTACACTCGATTGGGACACATCGATTGGGACATGTGTCCACAGATGATAATTTTTGAAAGTGTAATGACATGTAACACTTTCTAAAATTTTGTATTGTGAAAAGGGGTACGTGGCCAACACAGCAAAGGTAGCGCCGAAGCGCTACTCACCCTCTTTTGCCTACAAAAGAGGGACGTGGGGAGATTCGTCCCCACCCACGTTTCCATTTTCAAAATTGTAGTTTTAATTTCCCACCCGACCACCCATTTGTGTATGCTGTTATGTAGACATATATAAGATGAAAACGATGTACTACAACCCATATGAAATGATAACGCTGCCTTTGCCAGTCAGCCTAAGTACACTTTCACAATCGGAATGTACCCTTACTGCTAATGGGGCTTCGCCGACTTCGCGCGCACTGTTTCACCAGACCATGCACCGCTGGCCCGGCCGTGTCGGCCTACGCTTCGGGACTTGCCTGACGGCCTAGATGCCAGCGTAGCACTAAGTTAGTTCGTACGCACCGCGTTACCGTTTGCATGTTTCGCATATAAATGTTGTCTCATGCCTTCGCTCACAATTTGTACTCATTTGACACTTAGTGCAATCCTCGCTAACTCGATTCATTGCACCCGTAACAAAAGCATACAAAAGACGTGGCAATTGCTTCCGAAGTACTCCATCGTGTCAGTGCCACGACTTCGGTGTTCAAGAATCTCACCTAGTGCTCCCGTTATCCAATGCACGTCCATCTTTCGTAAGTGCCAGCAAACACGCGGACCACCTTTGCCTTGGTTGAGCTGTCGAGTGCTTGTAATGACTCGATGAATCAGATTTTCGTCTAGGCGTATTCTGGGTAGCAAGTCTGTGTACAGCCTTTCTGGGGCAGTTTACTGTATTGATATTTGCTGAAAGAACAACGTTGCTGGCGAGGGTGTACCTTGGGATTAGAACCTAAATGAAACAACCTCAGCCTGAAATTGTAGCTATACAGAAGGCCCGCACACAAGACGAGACTTACGTCGATCAGTCCAGTGGAGGAGTGACAATTGCTCTCACCAACTCAGGGACGGTGTAGATATCGTCCTCTAATCACGGAGATGTAACAACCCTCAACCTTGCCACAGAACCACACACGCATCACATCACAACCACACATACCACGGAAAGCCAGAAGAAATAGAACTAATCCCCGTAGTCATGGCTACCGTCCTTCTCGCGTAGGTGCTTCGCCGTTTAGGGTTCGACCTTAGTAGTGAATGGTTTGTGAGGTTCCTTCATTCCATTCGCAAGAGAGCGTCTTTTACAGCTTAAAAGCCGAGATATACATCAAAGTGCATGCGTGGGAGCCAGCTCCCGATGCGTCCGTATGAGGTGTCGTGCGTGGCAGGACCAGTTCAGCATGCTTTTGGCACAGGTACGTCTTTCTGTGACCGTCGTGGCAAGCGCATGGTGTACCGTCTGGTCAGTACTAGCCGTTCTACTATTTGTAGCCCTTCAGTTCGTTTTTATCTTTACCTTTTCAACCTGCATTTTTTACCTATCTTATCCAAAAGGGGCGTCAGGCGCTTTGCACGCCTTTCCGAATGTTTTTTTTTTTTTTTGCTCTCCACGTTTATTTTCGTTCTGCACAAGGGAAGCAAAGCATCGACTTATATTTGCTGTTGTCCCACCTAATCCCATCATAGGCACACCGCTGTGCGCAAATCGAGGTGCCTTTTTTCAACTGTCCGAGAAGGTTAGTAGACTATACGGCAATGCTTCGTGTTTCTCGGCGCGTCCTCGCATCCTTGTTCACCTTGTTCCAGTTTTTCCTAGAATTCGTGCATTGTTTCACCTTGAACCTGTCGCTGTGTGTCTGGCCTCCCTCGCAGGTTACCAAGTGGTGTGATTCTGTCGAGGCCACGATCGTCCAGTGGATTATCGACTTCGTTGCTACCAGGTCTTTCCCGCTTGTCAAACTAAACCATCCGTTTCGGTTTAATATTAGTCTCAAAATGCTTTAATCCATTGAGCCTATCGTTGGGACGTCCACATACCTACAGTTTTGAGTTACGTTTGTTTATTCGTACCCGACGGTGCAGGGCCATTGCGTTGTTTGTATTGCTGAATCCTCGCCTCTCCTCTCATCAGCAATTTCGTCTACATGTAAGGGCTTCTATTATAGCTAAGCAGTCAGTTGTTTGTGAATAAACAGCATGCTTGCAGAGCGCTACAATTCAGTTGTTTGGTTTGGTTTGGCATGAAGGGTAATACATTCCGTTGCCATGACGTGCTTTGTTCTGCGTTTTTTCCGTTTTTTGTGAAACCTTGCAGCAAATGATGGCAAAGGCGGTGGAACGGTCGTGGCTCCGAAGGAAGCTTGATGTGCGATTGTTAAAGTACGGAATGAGTGTGATTTTTCCCGTGTTTGTGCCTTGTTTTATTTTTATTTTTTATTTTTTTTATAGCATTGTAATGGAGCCTCTGTTTGTTTGCAGGGGTATACTGGCGCTCGCCTGCCCTAACCGAGATCTACTCAACTTAATTGATTACCTGGTTAGTTTTCTTCCTAACCCATTTTGCAAAGCTGATTACAGAAGCAGTTCATGAATGAAAAACAGGCTGTTACGTAAAGGTCGAAACTTAACTTCTCTCATATACTCCTTAACTTCACTCTGTGTGTGTGTGTGTGTGTGTGTGTGTGTGTGTGTGTGTGTGTGTGTGTGTGTGAATGTGTGTGTGTGTGTGGTAGGGTGGCCTTGGCTGTGCAGTCTGATACTGCTGCGTCGATATGTGAGAGCCAGACTCTGTTAGACCTGCAAATCTCCTCGAGTGACACATGTCTTCATGCGGCTCAGTGCACACCTACTTGTCAACCTGACCACTACGCACGAAGCCATTCCTTCCTCTCTCGACCCTCCACTGCCATTACACCTCCTCTAAATACTGGTGGTCTCCTTGTTGCTGGGACCTATCCTGGCCGTTTCGCGGGCCACTCACATTCTTGCAGTGGAGGCAGCAGCCTGCATATAGAAGCAAAAGTTGAGAGAATGCAGAACAAGCCGTGTCCTGAAGTCGCCATCAGCATCGGTTCGTCATTTAGTTGCAACCAAGCTGATGAAAAAACATTAGATGCCGGGAATGTAAGCATGGATGCTGCAGCTCCCTGCGATTTCAGTATGCCGGGTAAGTTGCCTGACTGGATACGCCTACAGGCTACTTGTCCCTCGTCAGCAACAGCTTTTCCAATCACCACCAGACCTTCAGTGGGGAGAACAGGAGCAGCTTCAGGGCATACAGCTAGAGAGAGTGCTCCATCTGCTCAGTGTCCACGGATCTGCTGTTCACAGTCGCTTTTGAGAAACCTGCAACACGCAAGTGTACTTCAAGAAGGATGTCTTCTTCATCAACCTCTGGCCCTTGCTCAGCCTCAGCAGTCCCAGGTGGTTCTAAAGGGGCCATCGAGTTTAGCAGCAGCAGCAACATCAATAACCGTGTCACCAGCAGCAGCAGCAAGAGTGCCAGCAGCAACAGCAGCAGGGGCTCCCATGCTAGTACCTGCAGAAACTGTCTCATCATCATCGGCGTTGATCCTGGTACCAGGAGCATCGATGGTATCAATACGACCGACACCCTTTTGGTGGCTGCTGACTGAGTGGTTCTGTGTGGATCATGACTTGGTGGCGGCCATGCCTCCTGCTGTGCAGCGGTCTGTGTTGGAGGGGCTGTGTGGGGACCACATGGATGGCATGCTTCGGCTCGTGCACACTGCATCAGCCATGCCGCATGCCTGCTGTCACCAGGTTGTGCTGCCAGAGCTGTTTGCCTGGTTACGGGAGCATCCTCCCACGTGCTGCATCTCGCTTGAGCCTCTTGTATCACAGGTAAAGCTGGATCTGTGAGTGCTGTGTTGGACTTGGAAGTTCTGCTGGGATTTTTTTTTCTTTCCTTGTTTCTTGGATCCTGTTTTGGTTCCCAGACCCAGTTATGCTGCCTGAACAAAAGTTAGTTTCACAATAAGACGTAGTCCTGCTGTTTTGACGTTCCTGTTTGTGCGTGCAGGATGGACGCGTTTGCTCAGATGTTGTGGCTGTGGTGCAGCAGATGCGCAAGAGACAGAGCAGTGGCAACAGTGCCAGCAACCAACCAAAGCTCCATGCAGTACGTTCCTCTGTGTGTTTTTACATGTACACATAAATGCTTTCTTGCAGTGCTGCTGATGCATTGGAAGCAATATCTTCTCTGCTGTTTTCTACTCCCTGGTGCCCATTGCAGTTCTTATTTCGCGGAAAGGCACTTTTTGACTGGCTGGCTGTTTCTCCTCGTCCATTTAATCCAAAAACACGTGTCACCATCCTCCCAATGGATATTTACCGCCTGTCCTGAGCTAGGATGTGTGTACGGTAGTTGTTTACACACAGTTTCTGTATATTCAGTGATGGTGTTGCATGGGTTGTTAAAGTTAGGTCAGTAAACTGAAATTGTTTCCAGCTAAATGTTGATTTGGTAGGGTTATGTTTCTGTGGGTAGAAAAGTAGAGTTTTGGAAATCGCAAAACACTACTTCAGGCAGATACAGAGGTTCTGCTAGTTAGCGGACTAGCCAAACCCAGTGGTCCAGGTGTGATGCAGATTTCAGACAAATTTAGAACCATTTGGTTGAGAACATTGGCGCGAAGCGCCTCGAGTAGTTTTCCCTCTGGAGGTTCGGCTTTGGCCTGGAAAGCTTTATCAACGGTTCTGGGACCTAAAATCCGAGCCGCGTGGTGAGCTGAGGTGCGAATGAAAAACGGTTGCCTTTGTGACGTGCTCTTGACCGAACCGACGGCAGAGCCTGCCGAACCGAGACACAACTCACCTCTCAGGTTCACCTTCATCTAACCAGGCCACCACCGAGCCACCGCCAAGTCACCCACCAAGACTGGACACCCAAGGGAATGACGCTGAACGTGAGACTTGCTGCTCGAACAACCAGCAATCTGCGTTCTTGAGCTGAAGGCTTTTCTGAACAGAATCGGTGGCTGAATCAGAGCTGAAAGAATCCAGGACTCCTGTACTGCTGTCACAATCACCGAAATAGTTCCCAGGCTGTGGATTTTACACTAGAGTAGCTGAGTAGCCGTGAGTCAAGGGACGCCGTCAGTCGAATTAGTCACACATCTGCTGAGCTGCATTGAGCAGGAACTGCAAGGCGGAATTGGAAGCGATGAAATGACAGTGTCTGCTACAGTGCTGCCGCAATTGGTAAGCGAATGAACGTGAAACGTGCATTTCACTGATCAGGGACTACCGTCTCAAAGTTGGATATTGATGGTCAACGCGTCGCAACCGTTTTTTTTTTTTCCAAAAAAGTAAACCAGCAAACATAAATACGAACGCAAAACTTACAGCCAGCAATGCGTACTTCGTGAAGTGCGTCCGACATGGGGGATGGCAGCTCCACGAATCAACAACTGTAAATCACAAAGCTTCGCGGTCGTTGCACCGGTCTAAGAAACCTCGCCTGTCCAATATCCTGCGAAGAAGGTGTAGCGTAGCGACTCCAAGGAGTCGCAGAAATAATCTTGCACACTGGCTGCTATTAGCGTCATCACACGCTGCTTATGTGCCGCTGTCACGCTTATAAGGGGCAGAAGAAGCTGTCACGTTGTAACGCGCCATAGTGTCAAGCCACTAACGCGCCATACCGTTACTCTGCTAGCGCGCCCTGCTGCCACGCTGCTTACGCGTTGTGCTGTCGCATTGCTGGTGGTGGCGTGCAGGTCAAAATGGAGGACAACGCCCCAGCTCCACCGCCCAGTCTGGACCAGAATTCTCTTTTGTCCTCGCCGCAAGTGCCAACGGACGATGCACAGGCGGCAGAAGGGGCAGCAGCAGGAGCAGCTGCGGTAGCGGGAGGGAAGGAGGCTGTTTCGACTTCTGGGAAAGTCGCTGTTTCTGAGCCGCCTCGTTCTCGCTCTCTCTCCCAGTCTTCCCACTCCGCCTCTCATTCGCACTCCCATTCGCAAACGCCCAGGGTGCGTTTCATGCCGCGGTTGATGTTTTCGGAACACTCTCGTATCTTCCGTAACTCTTTCCCTTAACTAGCTCTACTCCAGCTTCATTCCTAAACTAACTTACCTACCCTTTCCATCTCCCCTTCCGCTCCATGCGCCCTTTCTCTTTCTTCTCTCCCCTCCCCCTTTCCCTTACCTATACCTGCCATCCCCCCTCGTTACACGTGCTGGATTTACTCAGTCCAAGCCAGGACTCACGCGGTCCCCCTCCTCCGCCTCCTCCACAGCCTCATCGCTTGCCTCCCCTTCCAAACACTCCTCAAGGGTCAGTTCTCTTCACTTCCATCCATCTGTGACCACATCCAGCTGTCCTTCCGTTCGTGTTCCCCCTACCCCTCTCCCGTCTCCTCTTTCTTCGACTCCGTTACCTCGTCGCCCTCTCACACCATGTTCTCAACCTCAAGCACTCGCACCATCACAGCTTCACTTGTCTTCCCTCTCAAGTCCCTTCGTTTCCCCCATCCCCTATCCGCCGCCCACACCACCCCCTCGCTAACCTCTTTCACACCTGCACCTCCTGCCCATCCAACCCTTTGCGCTACGTTTAATATCATGCAAACTGCTTTCTCCGTGTACACGTCCCCCCTCCCTTTTCCCCCACCCCCTCTTTCCTCCCTCCCTTTCCCCCACCACCCCCTCCTCCCTTCGTCCAGTCGTCCTCGTCTCGGTCCCGCCAGGACGAGCCATCAGGCCTCAAGCCCCGCATGCCCTCGTCCGCCTCTTCTGAAGCTACAAGCTCGCCCCGCCCGCGCCACAGGGTGAGTTCCATGAACCCGAGGGAAACACGCACGCTAGAGGGAACGCACACTGAAGGGAAACACGCACGCTAGAGGGAACGCACACTGAAGGGAAACACGCACGCTAGAGGGAACGCACACTGAAGGGAAACACGCACGCTAGAGGGAACGCACACTGAAGGGAAACACGCACGCTAGAGGGAACGCACACTGAAGGGAAACACGCACACTCGAGGGAAACACGCACACCCGAGGGCAACACGCACACTGAGTAAACCACACACGCCTTACGGAAACACGCTGTAAGGTACTGAGATTCAGAGGCGCTTGGAATCAAGGAAACACGTGAGATAGGTCGAGGGGCGAGCTTACGCTAGAACAAGCACGTGGTTTGGTTTACTCTTACGTGGCAGTCAGATGAGGCGAGAGATAATGCGCATCAGGACGTCGTGTCGGTTGATTTCAGTGGGCGGTTGATTTCAGTGGTCACCACTGGTGGTTGATACTGCTCTGTTTATCCACTTGCTGCTGTGCATGCGCAGACGAGGGAGGAGGGCAAGGAGGAGGACGGGAGCAGGGACAAGGAGAGGGAGAGACGGGAGAGAGACAAGGATAGGGAAAAGGACAAGGACAGGGATAAGGACAGGGAGAGGGAGAAGGAGAAGGAGAAAGAAAGGCGAGAGAGGAAGGATCGGAAGGAGAGGAAAGATAAGGAGAGGGAGCGGGAGAGGGTAAGCGAAGGGTCAAGGGGCAGCGACGACGACCATGCAGTGACGTTGTTACAGGAAGAGGTGGCACGGCTGGTGAGGGAGAAGGAGAGTGAAGCAGCTACAGCCGCAGCAGCAGCTGCAGCAGCAGAGGCGAGTGCGGTGGCAGCGCGAGCAGCGCTAGAGGAGCAGGTGGCGGCTCTCAAGGAAGAGCTGGAGGAAGCGCAGGACATCATAGTCACTCTCTCGCAGGCAAAAGCTGATGCTCAGGTGAATCAACAGAGGTTCGCGTGGGGCGCTTCTGGTAACCTGCCTGATTCTGGGTCCGGAAATGAGATGGAATGTAGCGAAAAAAAGGGCTTCGTACCGCCGTAGTATTTTCCTACTCCTGCTGTTCGGTCCCATCCTGCGTCAAGCATCTTGTGATCGTCCTCCTGAAGCTCAGTGATGCTCGTGTGGTGGTTGCAGAATTCTCTGCTGAGGAAGGAGGAGGAGATGGAGGTGTTGGCGCGCCAGTGGCAGCATCAGTTGGCAGAGTACCAGTCAGAGCTGCAGCAGCTGCAAATCAAACTTCAGGTACGTTTCCCTTCCCCCCTCTGTGTTTCCGCTACTGCTGCCAGAACCATTGTCGCCCTACTGCTGCCGGTGCTGCTGCTCGTGGTGCCGCCCTTGCTGTTGCTGATGGTGTTGCTGGTGCTGCTGCTGCTTTTGCTTCTGGGTCCACTCATGCACCTCGAGAGAAGTGTGTGGCAGTCAATTTTCTCTGAATGCAATCTTATTCCTCCTACCATGCCCATGAATGCCTTTCACTCCACTCCTCTCGTGTGGTCCCACCACTCCTCTCGTTCAGTCTCGTTTCTTCCCAATCTCTCGGCCTATTCCCTCCATCATACCCACCCACATTCTGCTTCTCCTATCCAATTCCTCATTTTACAGGAGGCCCAGAAGCAGCTGCAAGAGAAGCAGCAGCAGCAGCAGCAGCAGCAGCAGCAGCAGCAGCAGCAGCAACAGCAGCAACAGCAACAGCATCATGAGTCCCCTGCCCCATCGCCTTCCCTTTCCCGGGCTGCACGACAGGCAGAGCAGGTGGGTAACACGGGTAATTGGATGGTTTTTCTGTTATCCTTTTGTGATCCAATAAATAACTGGAATATGAGGCGCTGAAGTGGTTAATGGCACTAGAAACATGCACAGATAAGTCCGAGCGCTTATCTGATCATGCACAGGCTCACACTAGGAACTCCCTACGTTCTTTTTCAAGGCTCTTGTTCTTCTGTCATGGCTTGTATGTCAGTCCACAGCCGCCCATTCCCCTCCCATGCCTGCAACTGCCACCTGCCGACGCTCCACAGCCCCCCTGGCTTACACAGTCTACCCAATCGCAATCTTATCCAATCCTCGATTCAACAATCTGCCGGCCATTGGTGTGAGCAGGAGATAAGGCAGCTGCAGGAGGAGGTGGAGCGGTGGAAGGAGCACTCAGCGGAGCTGGCGAGGGAGCGGATGGACAAGGAGGACGAGCTGCTCGCCATGCAGGAGGACTGGAACAAAACGGTCAGTCTCTCTGCCCCTCTACCAGTCAGCTCCATCAGTGCCTGTTCCTGCCATGCCAGTGCCCGCCCGCACCAGTGTCCCATGCTCCATCGGCATCGGCCGAGCCAGCGGCCTGTCTTCTTCATCCCCTTCGTATTGCTTGTACTCCCTGCCCTCTTTCCTCTATAAACTTGTTTCCCCTCCCCGCCCTGTCTCCCGTTCCGCTGCACCTGAATCAGGAGTCGGAACTGCGGGTGCGGCTGACCCAGCTAGAGGCCGAGCGCAATCACTGGCAGAAGCAGTTTGCCGAGGCGTCAACCGGCCAGGCTGCAGCTGCGCATCGCCCTCCCTCCCCCGCCAGCAGTGCCTTTGCGTCCGCGTCTTCTGCTGTGACAGCAGGAGACACAGGCGGAAACGGTGACACTGGTGACAGTGGTGGTTTGAATGGTAGTGAGGGTGGAGATGGGGTGGGAGCTTCAAATGATTCGGTTACAGGAGCCGCAGCAGCTGGAGCAGGGGAGAATTCCGAAGAGCGAATAGCCAAACCTTCTGATGCAGTTGCAGTAGCAGCCGGATCAGGAGCAGGAGCCAGGGAAGGAGCGGGGAAGGAAGAGGAGTTGGCAGCAGTGCAGCAGGAGCTAGTGGTGTGCCGGGCAGAGGTGGCGCAGCTGAAAGCAGCAGAGGAGAGGCTGAGCCACGAGGTGCAGTCCCTAGGAAAGGAGAAGCGTGAGCTGCAGAGAGAGGTGGGGTCGCTGAATGAAGAGCTCAGGACGGAGAGGGAACTGTCTGCGGAGGCTGGGGTGATGGCCGAGCAGGAGTGGCAGAAACGGCAGGAGTTGGAACGGGTGAAGAGAGATCTGGAGCGGCAGCTGGCCAAGGCTAATGCGGCTCCGGCTAGCACTCCTGCTGCTGCTGGTACTCCTGGTGGGCCTGCTGGTGGCACGCCTGCTGGTGTTGGTGATCACAGGGCGGGAGACGGGACACTTGGGATGCAGGGGAAAGGGGCAATCGGGGCAGGTGGCGCAGCAGGGCAGGGCGGAGAAGGAGGTGACTCAGGTATGTTGCCCAAGTCCCTGGAGTCTGCCTTTGATGGGGCGGCAGACACTGGAGACCACATGCATGGAGGAGGAGGTGGAGGAGGAGGCGAGACGAGAGGTGATTCAGTAGCAAGCGGTTCCACCAGTGGTAATGGTGGTGGTGAGGGTGGTGGGAATGGTGGTGGAGAGGCCGCTGCTGCTCTGCGGGATGCGCAGTCGGCAGCAGCAGCGCTGGGGCTAGTGAAGGAGCAGCTGGAGCTGCAGGTGAAGGCGCTGAAAGAGCAGGGCGAGATGCTGCAGCGGAAAGCAGAGGCTCTCCAGCAGGAGGTGGCAGTGCTGCAGCGGGAGGTGCAGGAGGGGCGGCACAAGGTGGCAGAGGCACGGGAGGAGCAGACCAGAGCCGAGCAGGAGCGGAACAGCGAGGTGATGAAGAGTGCGTTCAACCGCGTGTGCTTGCAACTGGTAGGGGAGGCGAAGGAGAGGGTGGAAGAGGAGGCGGCGGCGGCAGCAGCGCTGGTTGCATCAGCGAACGAGAGGGAGAAGGCGGCGGAGAAGTGTCTGTTTGCGCTGCTGAGCGAGGTGGCGCGGCTGGTGAAGGTGCACGAGGTGCAGGCGAGGAACAAGGGCGCTGCGTACCATCGGTACCGCATCACTCTGGCGGACATTGAGAGCGTGAAGGAGGACCTGCAGGAGGTGGTACGCTGTGTGGAGACTCACGCGGCTGTGGCCGAGCGAAGCCGCGTGAAGGGATGGTCCGGGACAGGCTCGGAACTTTCCGGCATGACTGATGCCATTGCTGCTGCCTCTGCTGCTGCTTCGGCTGCTGCTTCGGCTGCTGCTTCGGCTGCTGTGTCTGCTGCTGGTGGTGCGTCGTCGGTTGTGGGGGCCGGAGGCGGGGGAGGAAGTGCAGGAGGGGCTGATTGGGCGGGGGCTCAAGGCCGGGGAGTGCAGGTGCAAGGCAGAGACGAGGACCCTGCAGCCAGCGCGCTGCTGGCAGAGCTTCTGGAGAAGGAGCTCGACAGGGTGATGAGCAGGGTCGCAGAGGCGGAGAAACTGCAGGCATCAATCGAAGCGGTGGTGGTGGAGGAACGGAGATTAGTAGAGGATGTGCAGCGGGACCTGCAAGCAGTGCAGGCGAAGCTGGTCGAGGCGGAGATGATTCGCGAGCAGGCAGAGGCGCTGCGAGAGACAGAGCGGGTTCTGAGCAAGGAGATTGAGGAGGAGGGCAAGGAGGCGAAGGTGCGGGCTTTGGAGGAGGAAGAGGTGGAGGGGAGGATCATCGCTCTAGAGGCGACGGAGCAGGTGATACGAGCAGATCTGGAAGAGAAGAGCCTGCGGCTGAGGCAGATTGACCGGGACCATCCAGATCTGAGTGCGGCTGTAAGCATAGCAGGAACGGGGGAGGGTGGTGCAGCAGCAGGGTTGAAGAAACTGTTTGCTCTTGGGAGGGCGGCGGAGCCTGCGGTTGTGGTTCCAGCGTCGCTGTCTGCTGTGGCAAAGGAACGGGCGAAGCTGCTGGATGAGATACGGGTGATGCGGGAGCAGCTCATGTGGACGCAGTCGTCGCTCATCAAGGCTCGGCAGAGACTGCCGGAGCTGCATCAGGTGCCACATGCACTGCCCTTCTCTCTCTCATCAACATGTCACGTGTACACACGTTTGAAGCACTTTGGGTGCAGAAGTCTCTGCGCCGTATTGTTCTCTTCACATGTGTGTTTGTGATTTCTCTTGGGCACTATATTTGTCTCATATGTGCATAAGGTGTTCGCAGGCATTGCATATGTATGGTCTGTCTTTTGGAGTTTTCTCACCCGCACGGGCCCTAAACTTACTCCCCTCCCCTGTCCCCTCTCTTCTCTCCATGTGCTTGACTGCTGCCACACTTCCTTCTGCCCCAACTCTGCCCTATGGTCGATGCACGTTGTGGTTGGCGGGTTGCCTTGGTACTCTCAGGAGGCAGTGGAGTGCCGGCGAAGGGTGGAGAAGAAGGAGAAGGAGGCCGTGAGGGTCAGGCAGTGGCTTCAAGACCATGCCGCTGCTGTTGGGGGCACAGGGGGAGGAGAGACAGGAGGGGGTGGGGCAGGAGAAAGAGCAAGGGGAGGGGGAGCAGTGTCACGGGTGGGGGTTGGAGGAGGCATGGCAAGTGTGGTGGGAGGGCTATATGGTGGGATTGGAAGCGTTGCTGGTGATAAAGAAGATGCAGGAAAGAAGAGTGGTGGCGGTGGCAGTGTGTGGGGATGGTGGCAGTCGGTAAGTGGCAGCTCGCAACACTTTAGTTTGCACATTGTCTTTACTCTATCCTTTCTTGCATGCTATACTTGATAAAACTGTCTCTGCCTTTGGGTTCCCTTCCTTGACTCCCTCCCCTTAATGCTGCTTCTTATCGTCTTGATTCTTCCTCCTTCCTTCTGCACGTCCCTGTTCGTCCCGAAACAGAAAAATGACGGCCACCCATCCAGCTCACCTCGGGCACATGCCACTGCAGCTGCTTCTGTATCTGCAGCTGCTAATAATGCTGGTGCTTCTAGTGCTGCGGCTTCAATGGTCTCTACTACAGCCACGTTGGGATCCATACCACCACCACCAGCAGCTGCTGCTGCAGCACCACCTCCAAAACTCCCGCAGGCTCCAGTGGTGGAGGAGCAACTGCAAGTTGGAAATAGCCAAATGGTGGATGAAGGAGGGACAGCGGTGCATATAAGGGCGGAACCAGTGGGAGGAGGCTATGATGCTGGGGCGGAGGAGGATGAGAACGATGAGGTGGAGGACTACATTGAGGGAGATGAATATATCGGCGAGGAGGGTGACGACGAGGAATATAGAGATCAGGATGACCAACCGAATGAGTGTGTGCGGATGGTGGCCTCTGAGCTCGAAGATACTCCTGGGTTACAGGAGGAAACCTGTGAGGCAATTGATGAGGAGGTTGCTGCTGCAAAATTTGTAGAATAAGCGCAGCGGTATATGCACGTGACAAAACAGAGGGTACTTCCCCCTCCTGGTTCACCGTTTGCCTTTTTTAAAACCTGCCTGGATTTTGTGTTTTCCTATTCGTACCGTAAATTGTCTTCAGGTACTGCCAACACTTCTGATGCAGACTCCATTTTCTGCAGAAAGTTGAAGGACAATTTATACTTTGTTGCGACCTCCATTTTCTGCAGAAAGCTGAAGGACAATTTATACTTTGTTGCGATCTCTCTTATTCGTTCTAGGCTACTCTACAAGGCCGTTAACTGTGTTGAGCGAGTCAACTGTGCAGCAGTGTCCTTCGCGGCAGCTGTCTGGTGTTGACGCTGTTCAGTCGCAGAGCTTCTTGAACAGTGCTGATTCGTCCCAGGTAACTAACAGACTCACGCAGATAGATTTTCAGGGGAAACAACAAAAGGTATGCTGGGGGAGAGACGGGCACTTCGTCGTATTATCCATGGATGGAGACCCATACGTCAGCACAGAACGAAACAATCGTCGAGCCGCTTAAACTTTGTGGGGTGAGGCAAAAATTTTGGGGTAAGGCAAAACAATTGTCCCTCCGTAGTTTCTGAACTACACCATAACTTTGCTTCTCTTGATGTGTCTTTCTTCTCTTTAACCTTTGATCGGAGCTGAGAAGCTGGGTCTATTTATTCGCTGTATCGAGAACATTAATGCACGGGTACATGTCACAAAAAGGTAACACGAGATTGTTCACGTTCAGAACCATGCATTCGCGAGCCGCGTCTTTTCCTCCACCACTCAAATGCAAGACAGGTCGAATCCGACCCAACCGACCAACATCACGATTCATGTCCACCTCGCAAATGACACTTTTCTAAATAGAATGCGCCCACACTCCTTCTGCAGCTCGGTGTCAGAATTCTAGCCAAGTTTCTTCGCCAGTGGACATCGATATTCCTAGACCAGCTGATATTCCTAGCCAACCCTACTCTGGAGCGATCTGAAGCCATGGCTCGTCATCCCCTTCCTCGATTGATCGCAGCCATCCTCGTCCTGTCTCTTCTCGTAACAGCACGCGCCAGCAAAGTTGTTTATTCTCTCACAGTACGTCACCTCCCGCATAATGTTCAACGTCAGACCTTCCACGCGCAATGCCGCTAGAAGCGACTTTTTCTCGCCGTCTTCTCGCAGTGTATTTATCTCTCCACCCCCCTCCCTCTTTCACCCCTTCATCCGATCCCTGTCATCTTTCCTCGCTCCTTTCCGTCTCCTTTCCGTCATCTTTCCGTCATCATTCTGATCGCCCCTATACCCGCCCCTCCTTGCCCTCCTCCCCATTCAAACACCGCTTTCTCTTCCTTACCCACCCTCATCCCCCGCCGCCTTTGGTCCTACGATCGCATCCTCATCGTCATCATAATCGCAACCCAACCGTCGCAGCGGTACGAGCAGACGGGCAACGCCATCTGCCTCAAGGCGCGCGACGACAATGCGGCGGCCGCCACGCAGAGCGGCGCGTTTGACCTCAACTACGCGGACGTAATGTTCGCCGGCGTCAACCCTGGCTCATCCAGTACGCGCGCTTCGAGTCCCAGAGCCTGTCCCTTCTCTGCTGTTCCTGGTTCAATCTATTCCGCCGATTCATTCCATCACTCATCATTCCATCATCTAAATCCCTCCCTCCAACATTCCCCCCATTCCCTTCCGCCCCTCCGCCGCCTTCTCCGCCGACAGTCAAGGACGGCAACGGTATCTGCTACGACAGCGCGGCGCCTGGCAGCGCGTCGTTCCTAGACATACAGTATTACGTCAACATCACGTCCTTCGGTCGCACCTATGTCGCGTCGCTCCCCACACGCCTGCTGCCTGCCGTCGTCGCGCAAGCCTCGTTCAGCGTGAACGTGTGGTGGAATCGCGTCTCTGGTGCCTATCCGGGGCCGCCGTCCGCGGAGGACGGCAACGCGTCTGACGGCGCTGCTGCTGCTGCGAGCGCGGCGGCGGCGGCTTCTGTTGCTACTGTTTCTGCTGGTGTGGATGCGGGCGGAACCGGAAGTTTGAATGGCCAGCAGCAGCAGCAGCGGCAAGGAGGGGCGGATGTGGTGGTGCTCAATGCGGTGAACAAGGCATCGAAGCCTCTGGAAGTGATAGGCGCGCCCTCCCTCGTGACTCTCGACCCTGCTGACTCTCCCAAGCAGCCCACCACAGAGACTGTTGCAGTGAGTCCGGATATCCCTCTTCTGCCTTCCCTACCCCCCACCGCATGTTACTCCCTTGCCTTCCTCACCATCCCCTGCCTCTGACCCCCTCCCAGTCAGCCACCTTGTCTGCTTGCACACCTCACAAAGCAATATCTCGACGGACATACCATAAGAACTCCTTCTATCTTGCCCCCATCCATGCAATTGCCAACCCGGACCATAATCCTAATGCTTACCCTTGCACATCCCACTCCCCCTCTCCCATGCAGGCACCAGCAGCAGCCTACTCTCTCCGCTACACCACATTCGACGTTGCCCTGCGCTACGTGCTCCCCAAGTACCTCACCCCAACCTACGCCTCCAACGGCCAGCTCTCCTTCACACCGCGGGCCTCCCAGCCAGGCGCGACCGGCGCGGCAGCCATCCTGTTCACGTCGGAGCGAGACGCGGTGTACGCGGGCGGCGTCACGTGGATTGTCTCGTACCTGGTGCACCGCCCGGACCCGTCGCCCTCGTCTGTGGGCTTCCAGTTTGTGCTATTCGAAGCGTCCTTCTACCAGCCACCGCCCAACGCAACAGCCTCCGCTTCCTCTGCTGCTTCCACTTCCTCTTCTGGTTCTGCTGCCGTTGTTACCCCGAGCCCCGTGGCACGGCGGTTGCTGCTGGCGCAAGGTGCGGCAGAGGAGTGCAGTGGGCTCGTGTGCCCTGGGAGGACTGACGCGGCACGCTCCGGTGCCGCAGCCTTCGTATGCCGGCCGCGTTACCCCTGCCCCTTGGGCTGCACCCCTGGAAAGAGCAACTACCCCAACTGCTGCCTTGCGTGCTCGGCTTCGTGAGGGTATAGATGGGAGAGTTTTCACCATGGCTGTTAGCATGCCAGCAGGCCAGCAGATTAGAAGGCCAGGAGGCCAGCGCACCAGCAGGCAAAACGGTTCACCATGAAGCAGGGCAGCCAAGGATTACCCGATGGCCTGCTTATCAAGGACGTCAGCGCGCCTCCTCGTCTGCACTTCGCTAACGCTCCACTCCTCGTAACCATTCTTTCATTGTTGTGTTGTTCCCAGCGCGTGCCAAATGGACGCCCTTTATGGGTTGCTTGGTGCTGCTGGGGACAGTTTCTTTGGCCTGGGCGCTACTGCTGACTGACAAGCTTTCATTGCAGGTGCATTTATTGCATTTGTTGGCCAGTCGCCTTCATTGACCTCTATGATGGCTGAACACTAGCCCCCAGTTGTTCCCTCCTGAAATTGTTGTTAAGTGGTGTCCGGAAATTGTATTTACTGGTCTCTTGTTAATAAACCATCCAGTTCAGTGCTAGAAAACGGAAACGTACTTATAGTAGAAGGTTGGAATCAGGAGTTAAGTGAAAGTGTATGCGTCCTGCCATTTTGAAGTGGTGCTCTGTTCCGTACCCCTTCAACGAGGCACTCCGTATGCGATCACCTTTCGACTCCCCCCTTGACCCCAAACCACGCTTCCCAACCCGCAACTCCTATCTCTTCTCCGCGGAATCGCACCCAATTCCACAAGACCCTCAAATCTGTCCATTCCAATCACTACCATACATCCGCGCCTCGTTCGCCTCCATCCTCGCTCGTTTTTCTTCCCCATCGCCATGGCTCTCACTGTCGCTTCCGCTGGCCTCTCTTCCTCCGTCAGGTTCTCCGTCGGCAACCGCGCCGGTACAAATGCATCCCTATCCGCATCAGCGTCCGCCTCCCCGCTCTCCCTTTCCGCGACCCGCCGCGCCTCTGCTGCGCCACGAGGCTCCGCGTGGCTGCGCGGATCCCCCGTGCAGCTTCCGCCTCTCGGTATTTCGGCGGGATCTCTCGGGGGAGCGATTAAGCCCGTGCGGAGAGGCGGCGGAGGGGCGATGACGGCGACGGCGGGATTGGGAGATGCTGCGGGGTTGACGGCAGCTGCGTACGGCGCTTCTCTGCTCTTCGGCGGCCTCTTCGCATGTGAGCTGCACGCTGAACCGCGCGCCAGGCGCTCAGCTGCTTTCATGTCCGGAAAATTGTATCTGTTTATCTGTCTCTTGCTTGGTGTTCGGTCAGTTCGTGGTTCCGACTTCGTTTCATTTCGCGGCCTGCGTCCCCAAATCTCCCCCCGCACCCCCCTCCCCGTGCCCTCCACCCCCGCCCGCCTCGCCCGCTTCCCCTGCCTTCTCCGCCTCTCTTGCCATCCCGTCACCCCCCAGACCTCCGCACGGGCAGCAAGTACTCTCTGGGAGGCGGGCTGACGGGCGCTGCTCTCTTCGCCACGGTGCGTTGAAGTTGATTGAATTGAAGCAGTGCGGAGCGGAACCTATAGTCAAATCAGCGTCTGCCATTCCTTCCAGCTATTGCTTTGCCTTTTCCATGCCAATCCTTTCCGTGCCCTGACTTTCCGAAGCCCGTTTGGCTCTGGCAAGGTTTGTCACCACACAACCAGCCAGCGTGGCTGCACTAGACAAGTCAACTCAGTCAAGTCAACTCAGTCAAGTCAACTCAGTCAATTCAACCATGCAGCCACGCTGGTTGGGCGATGCCACCAATTCCCAATACTCAAACAGAAACAAGCAATGCCCGATGCTTGCTGACTCTTCTGACGCAGCCTCTTCCCACGCTGATACATTCCCCTTTTGGATGCGCCCTCCTCCCCAACCCTTCTCTCCTCTACTTCCCTTTCTCCCTCTCCGGCCCCCCCTCCCCCTCCCCCCTCCTCCCCATCGTGAATGGCATACGCAGGCCTTCTATCTCATTCAGAGCGCTCAGACGGAGTCCCTGGGCAACGCTCTGGGCTTTGGTGCTGGACTGCTCTTCTGCGCCCTCTTTGGTCAGTCTCCTCTCCTTGCACTACGCAGTCCGCACGCTCTCTTCTTCCTCCCACCTGTCTCCGCTCCTCCCCCCCTTCCCCTCCCCCTTCCCCCGATCCACTCTTTCCCCCTCTCCCCGTTTTCCTCCGGCGCACTCCACTCTCTTTTCTCCTAAGATGCCGCCCCCCTAGTCCATACTATGTTGCTAGCCACCTTTCTTTCGCTGGAAGATTCTTCTTTCCATATGGAAGCACTCTGCAGTACCGTAGGTGTATCTTTTCCTCTTCACACCTGACTCCACCATCGCCACCCATCCCTCTTTCCCCGCCACCACTCCCACCACCACCATTACCCCACTTCCCCACTGCTCACGCCCCTGCCCCTGCCCCTTCAGCCATCCGCCTTTTCCTTACAGGAAAGCCCATGCCGGCCGCCCCTCTCCTTGCCTTCAGTGCAGCAGCCACTGCTGTTTTTGCGTCCGCCTATTTTGGCGCATGATTTGCAGGAGTGGATGTCTAGGTGCTATTTTCTATCGCTTTTCAATGCGGTTCAGATCAGCATCAGGGCGAGTTAGATAGGAGGCAATATGCAGAGGGAGCTAAGGGAGGAGGCTTTTGTCAGGCAGGCTTGTCCAAGATTTACAGAAGAAATTGCCCACGGAAATCCTCTAGCCTTCAATCATCTTGCACATTATGTAACGGGCTACTTATCCACCACCGCCACCACCACCACCAGCACCAGCACCAGTTTGATCAGTAATTTGCCCAAAGCGTAAACCCTGCCCTGCCAGTGACCATACCTGTCAGCTTGTACCGAAGCCCTACTTTACAGCTACGTGGTCAATCCTGAATCCAAGGGAGTTTGCCAAGCAAAGTCAAAATCACCGCAGCCAACCAACACTACCACAGACTCTGCAAACATGGCAACTATGCACAACCACCCACTCAATCACTCACTCACTCACTCACACATACACATAGCATGCACACACAGCCACCCCTGCCACATGCATACATTCTGAAGAGAGTTGAAAGAAGGGCACACACTTACACAGCCTTCCCCCCTCCTTGGCCTAACATAGCTTTGAAAAACTGGACCCCCTTGGAAATGGGGGAGTCCTTCGCAACAGCAGCATACAGCACTGTCTCAATCCTCTCCGCATCAGGGCGAGTGGGCAGTGCAGTAAGCGGCCGCATTGCACTCTCGCCCTTCTTCTGCGTCAGTAGCACCCACGGCACCGGACCGCCCGACCCCGCGCCCGCACTTGCCCCTGCGCCCGCATCAGCTCCCCCCACCACGCGCATCAGCGCGCCCTCGTTTCCCCCGAACAGCCCCTGCACGGCCAGCGGCATGAAGCAGTACACCACATCAAATTCCTTCACGAAATCCGCGACTAACGAGGATGGAATCTCGGAGTCCGCAGAGGCGGCAGGCGCGGAAGCCCAGGCGGGGTTGAGGAGGAGAACGGGCGTGTTTCCTGCGCTGTTGAGCACGGACCTGACCTTCCCCGCTTGCGCCTCTGTGGGGCCTACTATGCACACGAGCGCCGCGTCGCGAGGCACTGACGGCCGATCATCCAAGCTGGCTATGTCCCAGTCGATCTCTGCTGCGGCTGCGCGAGATGACCCTGATTCTGCTCCTACTCCTCCTCCTCCTCCTCCTCCTCCTGCTGCTGCTGCTGCTGCTGCTGCTGCTGCTCCTGCTTGGTCTTTATTAGCGCCTGCCGCTGCGGCGGCTGCTCCAGGGCCGAACAGCAGGGACACAGCGCATTTCGCAGCGGCATTTCCGCCTACACTCGCCCCTCTCCCCACACCCCCCCGCCATTGCACCAGACCAACAGCTATCCGCACCAAGTCCTGCGCCGTTTCTGCCAGCACCTTGGGGGAGTCGTCTCGCAGCGGAATTTCCACTTGAAAGCGCGCGCCGGCGCCGGCGGCTCCCCCTCCCCCACCCCCTCCGCTGACCCCCTTGCCGGAAATCTGCTTGCGCTGCTTAAGTGTCATGGGCTCTGCTGCGCGAGATGCGGCGCGAATTGCGGCGGCCACGCACTCGCCGGCTTGGCGGAGAGCATCCTCGAGGGATTCTGGCGGGGTCACGCGCGGGATAGGCGGCGGAGCGGCTTTCGCAGCCGGGGTGGAACGAGTTTCGGAGGAGGAAGGCGAGGGTTTTGTGGAGGGTTTTGCGGAGGACTGCTTACGCGGGCGCGACTTGGCCTGCGCGTTAATCGAGAGGCTTCGGTGTGGATTTTCTCCGCGGCATTTGCGGTCGAGGGCGGAGGACGCGGGGAAAGGAGAGAGCGCGAGAATGCGGCGAGACGAGAGGTGCTGCGAAGGAGTGCAGGATGTTCGCGAAGCGATCTGAGCGGTCGTAGAGGCCGCGAGTGCGTAACAGAGACTGGATGAGGTGGGTAGCAGCTGCGCCATTGGTAGGGAGGCGGACATTCAGAAACGACGTGCTGACAGCTTGTTTCACCTCGTATCTCAATAACTGATTACATGTTTTTTTCCAGCGGCAGGTGCGAGATCTGAAGCAGGAGATTTCTAGCGGAGGTTTTCGTTATTGTAACATGGTATTTTATTCCATACAAATCGTACAACTTGCGCAGTATCGGGTTCGGTTTTCAAACGGAGATGTCAACTTGAAGCTTCTACTCAAGCTTCTCGCGGTCAATGGCTGGGTGAAAAGGGCGTGGAGGGGAAGGGGTGGGTGGGTGCGGTGCGGCGGTGTGGGGGTGATGAGGTGATGCGGCGGCGGTGGGCTGCACACATTTGCAACAGAGTAACTTCGAGGCACATGTTGGCTACACCCAGTTTGGAGTGAACAGCCCTGTTGGCGTCATGGAAAACCCAGCAAAGAGCCACGACGCGTCACCTGAAGGCCAACCCTGCGATCGAACCTACGTAGGTTCGATTTTTAACGTGGTTCAAAAAATTTCTAGAAGTTTTGAATGTAATACACGGGTTTTTGTTGCGGTCAAAGATCGGTTTTTGCACGATCGAGCCGGAGGGGACGCGTCCTAAACAAAGCTTGCATCAGGCCTGGAATCAGATCTGTTAGCCAGCGCAGATAGGAAAATGTTCAGTTCGGTCACGATAACGCAGCTGTATGAAGTTCCGAATTCCAGGTGGCTTCCTCCCGTCTACAGTTGCGAACTGGGATGCAAACCAGAGTACACCCCGGGTTACATATCCGAAGTACAGGTGTCCCCGCCCCCGATTTGACAATGGTCATAGTTGACTCGCCCTCACTTCCCATGATCTCTTTCATCCCCATTTCTCAAGCAAGGGAGGAACAGCGCTTCGATGGGGGGAAGATACAGCTGTCTTCGTCTAGTGTAAGCTGATTCATGTGGTAGTTAGCGCACCAGCCGCCACTCACTGCCAACCGTTGTTTCATGTGTGCAGATTCATTGCAAATGTTTCACCAAAATTGCAACATGCGGGCAGTTCGTATGTAGAATTTCCATCTTATATTAGTTTGAGTGGGTGTGCGCTAGAGCAACTAATCTGCGGTTTCAATGTACTTGATGAGGTTTCAATCCAAAACAATATATATTTGTTTCAGCTCAATTAATATGTGAACTGTACATTAGGTCTTGGTCTCTCCTTATATTGAGGAAAGATATCGTATTGAGGCACTTTTTACTGTGTTCCGTGTCGTGTGCCTGGAATGGGGCAACTACACGGTCGACACGCGGCAGTTGGTCATCTCCAAACCAGAGCTCCCACCCTAACTGGCCTTCGGGCTTAACTCAACGCCTTGAATTGGTTCGGTTGGATGCAGGCGGGACTCGGGGCGGGGAGAAGCACCTGCTCAACAACAGAACCTCCACCTTGGCTGTTCCACGTCAGCCTCGCTTACCCAGAAAGCAGCAACCTCGTCCTTGGCTCGGTAGGGCCCAAACCTCATTCCCGCGCCTTCAAACACACGAAGCTCAAGAAACCTCCTACAGCTTCGTTACGTACCATACCTTCGCACCCCGAACCCAGCCGAGGAAACCCTCCAGCTACCGTCTACAAAATCCCTTCCGTTCACTACATTTGATGCAGTATTCGCACCTCTCTGTCCAAATCCATCGCCCCTAACTCGTCCACTAGAACGACTCCCTCGTTCCCTTCTCCGCTGAATGATTGGTTACTGTTTCATCCATACTTACCTGGTCTTCTTGCTGCATTGCCGCCATTTCCAGTGAAGGCGGAACCGTTTTGTTTCTGATTCAGTGGCTGCGACCACCAAGTTTGCAGCGGATCTGTGTTGTTTTTCATCGTGTTTTTGTTTCCATTTGTTTGTTTCTCGTTTTGTCGATCTGTTATGTATGTGACATTTCGTAATTTTACTTTGGAATAAGCCGTTCTTGTCACGCCGTTCACTGTCAAGCATACTGCCACTGTCTCGTAGCTACTCCGTAACTTAAACCACCACCTCCTCGCACTCGACACAACACTTCAACTGCGCGCATAACTGCTCTTCGCGTTTGCAGCTGCATTGCCCCAATTCTAAACGCGCGTTTCTCCCTCGTCTCCCTAGCCCCAAGCAAAGCCTACCTCGTGTTGTCCGCGGATAATCGCTGAAACTCCGGAGGCGCGACGCGAGCAACAAGAAGCGGGGCATGGCTACTAATACAGTTTTCTGGTGGAGCATCATGCCTTGAATCATCCGAAAACAGAAGAAATTCTGGAGCTGCTGCGACTGCCATGTGTCAGCGTGCGATCCTGTTGTGTTAACGCGTAACCATTCCCGGTGAACAGTGGTACAGTGAAATTCAAAGCCATCTTAGGTCTCTACGTTATCTAAGCGCGTGAATCGGTAGAAGATAGAGACACAATGCAGTCGGACATGGATTGTCCGTGCGAGAGACTCGTGGTGGCCGTCGGCAAGGATAACGGGTCGAAGGAGGCCATTCGATGGGCCGTCGCTAACAAGATCCGCTCTCCCAACGACGTCCTTATCTTGCTCCACGTCGTCTCGCGGTTACCAGGACCAAGTAAGTGCACACGAATCGGCTAACAATCCATACCTTGGACTGTTCATTGCGCTCTATAACGTTCACCCTTTTGCCAAAAAAAAAAGTTAAAAAAACCTTATCACCAGGCATGAATTTCTGCCATGTCAAGAATTAATGTAGTCGTTTTCCCACGCATCCTCTCCGTTCCCGCGTCCCCCGGCAGTGGGCACGGAGATATACCAGAGCGAGGTGAACAACACGCTGTTCGTGCACTATGTGCGCACCGTGGTGCAACCCATGATGTCCCTCCTCAAGTCCTCCATCAGCGCCCATGTAATGCGCTCCCCTCTCCTCGCCTCGCTCCTCTCGCTCCCCTCGCTCCTCTCTCTCCCCTCGCTCCTCTCGCTCCTGCCTCTCCCCTCGCTCCACTCGCTCCCTTCGCTTGCCTCGCTCGCGTGGCCCCGTTTGCCCTCGCCAGTCGTATGTTCTGCGGATTAATCCCTCGCCGATTTCGCAATTCTGCAATTTGTTTCCCTCATTCCCCCCGCATCAACGTGCCTCCCGACCTTCCCGTCTTTCCTGTTTCTCTCGCCCTTGAAACGCTCTCCACGCCCACGCTCATTCTCACTCTTACTCTTACCCTCAACGCTCACCTCCACGCTGATGCTCTCAACATTCTCACGCTAACGCTCACGCTCTCGTGCGACGTGTGTCTTGCGACTCGCAATTTGCCTGCCAGGTGAACGTTCAAATGAAGCTTTCGCGCAACAACCATCGCGACAAGGGAACTATGGAGGAAGCCCGTAACCTGCGCGCCACCACGCTCATTATCGGCAGCAACGGCCGCTCCTCCCTCTTCTCCTCGTAAGCAATCCCTTTCCTACTTCTTGGCTTTCCCCTTCGGGATTCCCTTCCCCCTCGCGTCCTCTCCCTCCCAGGAGGCTTTTTTATACGACGCTTCTCTTTGTTCCTTGAGTCGACCTGTGCCCCATGCTCGTCTCTAAATGAAAAAAACGCGTTATCTCGTAATTGACAAACAGGAAAATAAAAAATAAGAGTTTGCACCTCACCTTGGTTCGTTATCCCTAAACGGATAACCCCTGAACGGAGAACGCGCAAAGAGTGTGCACTGATATCTTTTAGTAATTTTCCATTTCATCAGCCTCTTGAATCCCAGCCTCCAATGTTTCCGTCTCCGTTTCAAATATGGACTATATACCTAAAAAAAAAAAAAAAAAACCCTCTTACATTCCTCACCTCTTTCAACCCTACTCGAAGGGTTTGCCTAAGGTGCCAAACACAAGATCCACCATTCCCCATACCTCCTCTTCCTCTCCCTTTCTCTCCTCCTCCCGCCCGCCCTCTCTCCCTCGCCTTACATCTCTTTCCACGCTCCTTCCTTCCACCCCCACTATCCCTCCCAGGAAGCCCAAGGTATCGGCCTTGGGGCAATACTGTGCCAAGAACCGACCGTACGGCATGGCGGTATGCGTGATAGACAAGGGCGGCAAGCTCGTGCTTTCCAAAGACGCCGACGCGCCTTCCTCCGTATCCAACAGCGCCAGCCCCGCCTCGTCCGGCCGAGCCTCCGGCCAGATCAGCCCCGGCCAGTCTGGCAGATTCCAACGCGGCGGAGGTTCGGGGCCGGGGACTGGCACGAGCACTCCCAGCAGCATGGATGGCGGTGGGGGGTTCCCGAGGAGGGGTGGTGGCGGCATGAGTGGTGGTGGTGGCGGTGGGGGTGGTGGTGGTGGTAGTTTTGGTGGTCGTGGGGGTGGGTCGATGGGTGGAACGCTGGGGGCGTCTGGTGGGCTGGAGCCCACGTATAGTGGGACGTTCGGTGACGGCTCTGATGGGCCTCCACAAGGTGAGCCAAGCGAGACGAGATGGGAGGGGGGAGCGAGAGAGGAGGGGGGGGGAGTTGGGTGAAGGAGACGAGGTGAGAGAAGAGGAGAGGGCAAGGTGTTTGGGATGCGATGCGATGTTCCTTACGCTCACTCACACCGTCTCCCGTGTGTTTATCTGCTGCCCTTCTAACAGCTCCTTCTCCCTTGATCTCCCACCCACCCAACCTATTTGTACTGATAAAAAAGTTTCGAGAATGGAATGCTGGGGTTCCTATGTGAGAGATTTTCTGAAGATTCTCATCCGTGATTTTTGAGAAGTTTCAAAAACTGGCATTGGCACATCCAAACGCCCTCGGAGAATTAAACTGTGAAACGGAAAGCAACCTTTTTAAACCACTCTCGGCTGAATTGTGCTGTGTAACTCGTGGCTGATTACCCACACACCCAACTGCAACCCTCCTAAACTGCATGCTCCATCCTGCTTTCCCCATATCTCTCCCACCCCTCCACATCTCCCCCTTCCCCTTTTACCCCTCCCCCTTCTTTCCCCCCCTCATCAGCCTTGGACCCTCTCCGCACCTCCCCCGCGCACGCCCTCAACGCCTCCCGCCCGCCCTACGCCTCAGACGCGCGCTCCTCCCCCTCGCGCTCTGCCATGCCCCCTCCCCCGCTCGACCCCGGCGCCCCCCTGCGCCCCTCGGGGCTGGGCCCGCGCGGATCCATGAACGAGCGCGGCATGGGGGGAGGAGGGGGACTCCCCATGGGCGCCAACGGCAGCGGCACCATGCTCCCGGTGTATGGGTCCCAGCCAGGAGGGGCGGGCATGGGGGGCGCAGCAGGCATGGGTGGGGGAGGCGGGGCAGTGGGAATGAGCTCATCCGGTTCCCCCAGCACCAGTGGGTCCACCAATCTGCTGCTCTCCGGTCGCCGCTTCCCCCGTGCCGGCTCCTCTGACTCCTCCCCCACCTCCTCCGCCTCCTCCCCCAGCTGGAACCGCCCTGGGGGCGTCCCTGGTGGCGGCACCGCTGGGGGGAGTTTCCAGCAGGGGCAGGGAGGGGGAGTGCAGGATCCAGTGGCAGTGGGGCTGGCAGCAGGGCTGCAGGGGGACGCTTTGGAGGATTTTGTGGCGTGGAGGAGAGGCAATCCCATGGCCTCGTACGTGCAGCAGCAGGAGTACATTCTGGATGCCCACCGCCGCATGGCTGCTGGCGGCGCTGGCGGAAGCATGATGATGGCCATGCAGCAGCAGCAGCAGCAGCAGTGGAAGGGGCAGGCGCCGGTGCTGACGTCCATGAACTCTCTAGGCTCTGGCGCGTCTGGCGATGAGGCTAGTGTGAGTGTCTTTTTTCTTGCCAATGTGCACTTGCTTCGCTCGGCTTGGCCCATCCGTGAGTATCGACTTTTCGCATCTCGCCTCAAGCGATGTAGCTAGTGCAGGACGGCTGAGACGAGTTTTTCACTGGAATGCGTTTCTGAAACCACTGGGAAGACGTCTTGACTTGAACTACTTGTTCCAAAGCTCACCCATTTCTGAGGCGCCTCAAAAATCTTCACAGGAATGCGTTTCTGAAACCAGTGGAAAGACGTCTTGAACTACTTGTTCCAAAGCTCACCCATTCCCTTCCCTGTCTTCTCTCCATGTCCTCACTGTCCCATTCTCCTCCTCTTCCTCTTCGCTTCCTCCTTCGTCCTTTCAGGCAGCCCCATCATCTTCCCTCCCCTCTCATGGGCTTCCTTGGTGTTTCCTCCCCTCCCGTACTTCCTCCCTCGCCCATCACTCTTCTCTCTTTCTCTCCTTTCCTCTCCCTCAATCCCCCCCTCTCTCCCTTCGCCTCTTCCATCCATCCCCCCCCCCCCCCCCCCCCCCCCCTTTTCTTCGTGTCCTTCCCCAGGACGACCCGCAAGAGGAGTTAGAGTGCTGCCGCATGTGCCTGCACACTGCTTTTTGACCTCTCAATCCCCCCTTCCATCCCCACACCTTCCTCCCCCACACCTTCCTCCCTGCCATCCCTTGTCCCTCCATCATCCCTACCCCTCCTTCCCCCCCATGCCCCACTCCAGGACGACCTGCGCAAGGAGCTACAGCGCATGCGCCTGCGTTCAGTTTTGAGACGCCTCAGTCTCCCCTTCCATCCCCTTACCGTCCCCAACCTCCTTCCCTTCTCCCCCTTCACCCGGCCCCTACCAGGACGACCTGCGCAAGCGCCTGCGCGCATTTTGGAGACGCCTCAATTCTGCCTACCATCCCCTTACCGTCCCCCCTGTTGACTTTTGAGTCGACTCAAAAGTCAATTCTGCCTGCCATCCCCTCACCCTCCCCCCTGCCATCCTTTCACCCGCACCACAACTCCCTTCCCTATCCCCCTTTCCAGGACGACCTGCGCAAGGAGCTGGAGCGCATGCGCCTGCGTGCTGCAGAGGCCGAGGCAGCCCAAGCGGAAGCGGAGCTGCGGGCACAGCGCCTGATGCTGGAAGCGCAGTCGTCCGTGCGGCAAGTGGAGGCGGCGCAGTGGCAGAAGGAGCTGGAGACCGCCGCACGCGTGGAGCAAGCGGCTCTCGAAGCCCTCACGGCCCAGGCTGCGGCGGAGGAGGCTCGGCGCGCTGCAGAGGCAGAGCTGCAAAGGAAGGACGCTGCGAGGAAGGAGGTGGCTGCTAAGGCTGCGGAGTTGGAGGTGCAGGCAAAGAGGCGGAAAGAGGCGGAGATGCGGGCGTTGAATGGTGGTGGTGTTGGGGGGAGCTCTGTGGGGAGCAGTGGGAGCAATGGGAAGGGCGGCGGGGGAGGTGGTTCGGGGGGAGCGGGAGCAGGAGGGGAGGGTGTGGAGGGGAAGGAGGGGGAGGGAGAGAGTGGGGAGGAGACTGTGGTGCAGGAAGGGCCGTTTGTGGAGTACACGTGGGAAGAGATGAAGGTAAGGGGGACAGAGGGATTGGGAAGAGGAAGGGAGGAGGGAGAGGGAGAGGGAGAGGGAGAGGGAGAGGGAGAGGGAGAGGGAGAGGGAGAGGGAGAGGGAGAGGGAGAGGGAGAGGGAGAGGGAGAGGGAGAGAGCCAATGAGGGAAGTTCTGTGTGTTGTGATGAAATGGTTGTGATGAAATGGTTGTGATGAAATGGTTGTGATGAAATGGTTGTGATGAAATGGTTGTGATGAAATGGTTCGAAAAATGAGGAATTCGCTGCGAGTTCTGGAACTCGCAAAAATGGAAATCGCTCTCAGTGAACCCGCACACTTATGAAACACAGTGAACGTACACGCCTGTGCTGGGGATTGTATTGTATCCCCCACACCACCACACCATCCCGTTCTCCCTCTCTCCTCGTCTCATGTGCCTCTCTCCTCTCCTGATCCCTCCTCTCTGCTCCCTGCTCCCACTCCTCTGTGCGCCCATGGAGCAGGCATGCACGGAGGGCTTCAGTGAGCAGCGCAAGATAGGCGAGGGTGGGTTTGGCACCGTGTATCTGGGCACGCTGCACCACACACCCGTGGCAGTCAAGGTGCTCAAGAGCCGCGACCACCACAAGGCCAAGACCGAGTTCCGCCAAGAGGTGACCACCACCCCCCCACACCCCCCTTCCCCTCCCCTCCCCCCCCCCCCCCTTTCCTCCCCCCCAATTCCTGCTCCTCCCCCCCCTCTCCACTGCGGCCATCCTAGTGCCCTGCCCTTCCGTGCCCTGCCACATCTGTGTTCTGCACTTAGCATGTATCCAATCCCATTTCTCCTCCCATGCCTCCCCATGCTTCCCCATGCTTCCCCATGCCCCCCCACGCTCCCCCATGCCCCCCCATGCTCCCCCATGCTCCCCCATGCCCCCCCATGCTCCCACATGCCCACACAAGCTCCTGTCACTCCCCTTCCCCTCCTCCTCCCCTGCAGGTGGCAGTGCTGACTCGCATGCAGCACCCGCACGTGTTTGAACTAGTGTATTGAGATCTCAAAACACTACTTCAAACAAGTTGCATCCACCACCCGCGCGCCGTCATGCTGCCGCTCGCACTCACGCCTTGCCTACAAGTACATGGCAGGGGATCAAATACACACCCCATCTCTCCCCATCTCTCCCCATCTCTCCCCATCTCCCCCCATCTCCCCCCCTCTCCCCCCATCTCCCCCCCTCTCCCCCCCTCTCCCTCCCTCTCCCCCCCTCTCCCCCCATCTCCCCCCCTTCTCCCCCCCCCACAGGTGGCGGTGCTGAGTCAGATCCAGCACCCACACGTGGTCATGCTGCTCGCCTGCTGCTCCTCCCACTTCTGCCTCGTCTACGAGTACATGGCGGGCGGCAGCCTCGACGAGCGCCTCCGCTGCACCAAGGGCACGGCGCCCCTCCTCTGGCACTCCCGCCTGCGCATCGCAGCAGAGGTCGCCTCCGCTCTCCTCGTACTGCACAACCGCCCCGTGCCCATAGTCCACCGGGACCTCAAGCCCGCGAATATCCTCTTAGATAAAAACCTAGTGGCGAAGCTCGCAGACGTGGGGCTCGCGCGGCTCATGCCCGCCAACGACGACTCCTCCGGGAATGGCAACGCCGTCATGCGCACGTACGCGCGGGAATCCGTCGCCGTCGGCACCTTCGCCTACATGGACCCGGAGTTCCAGCGCACGGGGGAATACGGCCCGAAATCCGACGTGTACGCGCTGGGAATCGTGCTCCTGGACCTCCTCACGGGCCTCCGTCCAAACGCGTTCGAGGGGCTCGAAGACGCAGTGGACGACGACGACGAGGAGGCTCTCGCGGCTCTCCTGGATAAAACCGCGGGCGACTGGCCGGTGCCTCTCGCCATGGAGCTCGCGAAGATGGCGCTGAAATGCTCTGAGATGCGGAGGAGGAGCCGGCCGGATCTCGCCAAGGTGGTGATGCCGGTGCTGGAGAAGGCCAGAGAGGTGGCTGCGAAAGTGGAGGAGGAGGTGGAGGGGAATGCCTGGCGCGCTGGTAGCCTGCCCAGCCCGCACAAGGCTGCTAGCTGCTTCTTTTGCCCGTTGACCAAGGTGCAGTGGCGGTTGGGGCAGAAGGGTGGGGGTCGTGAGGGGGGAGGGAAAGGGAGGGAGCGTGAGGGAGTTGGAAGGGAAGGGTGGTGGGGCATGGCTTGTGCTGGAAGAAGATCCAAGGGTTTTTGGGTGCTGGCAACGGAGAGGGACGATGCCCTCTTTCTCACCTTTACTCCCTCCTCCTCCTCCTCCTCCTCCCCTTTTGCCCCTCCCTCTTCCCACCTCCGTCCCTCTTTCCACCGCCTCCTTCCTCCGAGAGGTGCAGGATTCCATGCTGGCAGCGGCTTTTGAGACGTCTCAAAAAGCATTGCCTCCTTCCTCCAAGAGTTGCAGGATCCCGTGCTGGCAGCGGGTGGCCACACGTTCGAGAGGGCCTCTCCTTACTTGCCTTCTCCTTCCCTCTCTACCCTCCCGGTTTCCCTTTACCTACCCTCTCGCTCCCTGCCTCTCTTTCCTACAGGAAGTGATGCAGGACCCAGTACTGGCAGCGGACGGGCACACGTACGAACGAGCCTCTCTTCACTCGCCGCTTCCTCCCCTCTACTCCCCCTGTGTTTAACTTTCTCTTCCCCCCTCTTACCATCTCCCTACCCCTTGCAGGAGGTGATGCAGGACCCAGTGCTGGCAGCGGACGGGCACACGTACGAGCGAGCAGCGATCGCCAAGTGGCTGGCGGAGGGCAACAGCACGTCGCCCATGACCCACGACCCACTGCCCAACACCGACGTCATGCCCAACCATGCCATCCGCGCCATGATCACCGAGTGGCGCAACGGCAAGAAGTAACGCCTGCCTGCCTGCCTGCACGAGAGGGACATGAACGTCAAGTGGCAGGCCGGGCCGCGCTTCTTGTGAAGGGGTGCTGCGCGTCTTGTGTTGTGGGTGGGAATGCGAGGGGAGATAAGTTATGAACTGAAAGGGGATGGGGATGGGAATGAGGATGGGGATGGGGATGGATGTAGGGAGAATGGAACGGAACTCGTTGAGGTGGCAAGGGGGAAGGGACTGATGAATTGGTGAAAGATGGGTGGACATGTTTTTGGACCATTTATCAAGTCTACCCAATTTGCCATTCGTAGTTGCAGTGGTAGGTAGTGATTTTGTGGTGCCTGCATATGGTACTCATTACAATTGGACCTATTATGGTATGGTAACAAACAATTGTTGCTACTAGCATCAAAGAATCATGCACGTTTGTATAATGGATTGGTCTGCTTGTAATTTGGGCACTATGAACTACATGCAAGGGGAGAAAAGCAGTGCAAGACTAGGCAAGCATGCATGAACAGACATTGATTACTGTTACGAGTGCAATTGAGTGAGCGAGCGAGAATTGCACTATCGAAGCAAAAGTACAATGAGCGAAGGCATGAGCGAAGGATATATAGCGAAACTACAGTGGTAACGGTAATGGACTGTGGTTGTCGTGTGACGGGCCTGGGACTGAGGTTGGGAAAAGTGTCGAAGCGGAGGCCCGGAGCGCGGGTTACGCGTCGAGCCGTGAGGTCGGGGTGCGACGTATGAAGGTGGCAAGAGGATTGTCGATGCGAGAGTTGCGAGTGGTAACGGTGCAGACTGTGGTGCTACAGTGGTGTACGCGTTGAGCGGGGACGCGAAGAAAGGACAAGGAATTTTCCTTACACTAGCCCCCCCCGTAAGGAGGTCCTCATTACGAAAGTGCGTGTACATCCCTGAAGTTTCGGCTGCGCAGATACTCGGTGAGGACGAGGTGGTTTTCGATTCTATCTAGGGGAACCCAGTTGTCTTCGGTGGGTGTACGGTCTTTCCAGCGGATCAGGAACTTGATCCTTCGGGCTCCACGAGGGTCGCGAACAGGGCTAATTTTTGGTTTTGAGCAACCCTTATTATCAGTGCTGCACCTAAGCAAAAACCTGATTATCAGTGTGACCCGGTAGGAAATTTCTTTTGCATCAGGGTTCAGGCTAGGTTTGAAAATTTTACCCTGAGGCATCAGTGTAAGACTTGTAAAAACCCTACTCAGTTATTGTTACAATGAGTTTAGTCCGAGTTACAATGGCGTTGTGTAGAGCGAAACTGTATTTCTGGCCAATAGTGGCCCACTTCGTGCCAACACAAGTACGCAAATTCAGGTTTTGACAGTTGGCCAACGGGAATCCCTAGTTACAGGAAAGTGGGGGGGGGGGTCCGGGGGGGGGGGGGGGGGGGGGGGGGGGGGGGTGGTACTAGCTTCAGGGTAAAACTCGCTAAGAAGAACGGTTACCCTGGTGCATCAGTGTGCCTTAAACGTATACCCTGGCTGATCAGGAAAATCACAGCTCCAAAAAAAATTACCCTGAGGCATCAGTGTGACTACCAAAAACCACCCTGACAATCAGGGCATCAGGGTGATTTACACTGATAAAATTTGGCCTGGTCGCGAACTCTGTGACTCAGAATCTTCTCGGGCGTGATGATTGGTTCAGTCGGTGGTCGTGTCATGCTGGCTGGGCGATTACGTGGGAGTTGGCTTGTGGACGGGACGTAGGGGCGAAACAGGCTGACGTGGAATGAGGGGCTGACGTACCAGTCAGCGGGGAGGAGGAGGAGGTGGGCGGTGACGGGTGTGATCATGTGGCTGATGCGAAATGGTCCACAGTATCGGGGGCGGAGTTTTGGGGTGATGGGCAGGCGGAGGTTCTGGGTGTCAAGTAAAACTAGGTCGTCGGGCTGGTAAGTGACAGGTCTGCGGTGGCGGTCGGCGTTGCGTTTAGTGATGATGTTCGATTTTTTTATCGCGTCTGCTGCCCGGGTCCGTGCTGCTTGTAATATTTCGGCGAATTGTTGTGCCCGTGGCACTGGGTTGTCGGGATTCGGGGTCATGGGTATTGTCGGGTCTTGTCCGTAGTTGAGGTAAATGTCAGAATGTTATCTTATGCTCTAGCCTGTAGTGGGGTGCTCTATAGCGAGTACAACCCTTCTAGGGTTTCCTATTTGTATCCCCATTCTTGCTAGTGCAGTCCTCTTCTCTCTTCTAACTTTAACATGCTATCAGAGCAGGTCGATCCCCTTGGATCGATCCTGTGGGTGGGCTCACCACCTCGTTGCTTCCGCTGCAACTGCCACTGCTACTCTCTGTGCCGCACGCCCCGTGGCGTGCGGCAGTTTTTTCTGCCCACCGTGCGCCCCGAGGCGCGCGGCGGTTTTCTGCCCGCCGTGCGCCCCGAGGCGCGCGACGGGTTTCTGCCCCGTCACTCGGCGCGTCGCCCCCGGGAGGCGCTGCGACGGGCGACGGGGACCCGCGCGTCGCACCCCGTCGCCCTACCTACGGCCCCCGCCCCGTCGCCCTACCTGCGCCCCGGCCCCGGCCCCGTCGCCCTACCTGCGACCCCGGCCCCGTCGCCCCTCCTCCGACCCCGGCCCCGTCGCCCTACCTGCGCCCCGGCCCCACCGCCCTACCTGCGTACCGGCCCCGTCGCCCTACCTACGGCCCGGCCCCGTCGCCCTACCTACGGCAAGTGCACCCCCCCCCCCCCCCCCCCCCCTTTTCCCGTCGCCAGTCGAGGCGACCTGGGGGGTGGCGGGTGTGTGGTCTCCTCTGCTCCTCCTCCTCCTCCGTCTCCCTGTGCTGCAGCTGTCGCTGAGGGGGAGTGGACGTGTTGGAGCCGGTGGAGTACTAAGGGGGGGTGAAGGGGGAGTGGAGCTAGCGGTGTAGCAGTGGGTGTGTGCCAGAGGGAGTGGGATAGTTTGGGGAAGCTGAATGGAGGTTGCCGTCGTGTCGCCAGCAGCACCTGTATTCCGGGGACTTCGTCCGGTAGCCCAGTCGTAGCCAGCTGTGCCAGCCGCCCGTGGGTCCGTTGCTCGTCTGCCGCTACTTTAGCCGCGGGGCCAGTTACTCCAGTATTCCGGAGCGTTGTTCCGGTAGCCGCTGTGCCAGTGTGCCTCCTGTTGCCCGTGTGTATGCAGCTTCATCCGTCGCCTCCTATCTCCTCTCTTCTCACTCACTCTCCTCCTCCTCACTTGCCCGTTGTGACTACCACTAGCTTGTGAGAATAAGCAAACAGGAATGAAATGACTAAGTCAGGGTTGGGTACAAATACAACCCTAGAAAGCTGTACCCCATATGTGCTACCCCACTATAGCCTACAAACATGCATCAGCTATAGTAATCTGACACACCCCCATAGGCAAAGTGGGGGAGAACAAGGGGTCACAAGACCAGTCAAGCAAAGCAAAGCAAAGCAAGCTCAGGGTGGATCACAAAGTCACCACACAGTCCGAGCACAAGAGCAGGGCCAGAGGCCAGTTCACAAGCAAGAGTACAGACATATATAGAAGACTAGACAAGCAAGAGCAGGTATATATATGTCACAGTACAAGTAAAGTCAAGAGGAGAGCAAGTGAGGCAAGACAGGCACAAGACCCAGCTGGGTGCAGAAGCGCTGATGGTCACAAGGCGCGAGTGCCTTGGTGAACACATCAGCAGTGTTGGCTTCAGAGGCCACGTACGCAAGTCGCAACTGACCACGCTGCTGCAGCTCACGAGCAAGGAAGTAGCGGAGAGCAATGTGCTTCGTTCTGTGCTCCAAGCGCTGCTCTCGACACAAGGCCAGCATGGCCTTGTTGTCTACGTACAGCACTGGAGGAGAACGAGGCGGCTCTCCAAGGTCAGTCAGCAGGTAGGTGAGCCAGCCTAGCTCCTGTGCAGCCATAGCCCTGGCGTAGATCTCAGCCTCACAACTGGAGCTGAGAACCGAAGACGAACGAGTAGAGCGCCACGAGACAGAGCCGGAACCAAGACTGAAGGTGTAACCCTGTGACGACCGCTGCGTAGCCTGGTCGTCAGCCCAAGAAGCGTCCGCGTGGCCTGTAAGGACCACTGGACTCCGCCCTCCAAGCACTAGCCCCATGCCCGACGTACTGCACAAGTAGCGCAATACCCTCTTCGCTGCAGCCATGTGCTCTGGTCGGTGTCTCCCACGAGCAACATAGCGTGCAAGAATGCTCAGAGGGTATGCAAGGTCAGGTCGAGTGCAGGTCATCAGGTACATGAGGCAGCCAACAAGCTCTGGGTACGGGCCACTCGACTCTGCGGACTCATCCGAAGGCAGAGCTGAGAGTGAGTGGCGAGTAGACAGAGGAGTGGCCTGAGGCGAGGAGTACGTGAAGCCGAAGCGCTGAAGGACCTGCTGCACCATGTGTGACTGAGTCAAGGTGATGGTGCGGCGTGCTCTGTCCCGAGTGATCTGCAAGCCAAGGTAGCTGCGCAGTTCACCCAGGTCTGTGCACGTGTGTCTCTTCAGCAGCTCGGACTTCACGTAGGCGAGTCCAGCAGTGTCCGCTGTGGCAAAGACCAAGTCGTCGACGTACACGAGGATGTAGAACGGCGGCAAAGAAGTGTCGGTGCACAGAAACAGCGACGGGCCGGCTGTAGAAGGAGCTAACCCAAGAGCCGCAAGTGTAGTCGTCAGTGTGTTGTGCCACTCACGGGGCGCCTGGCGGAGACCATAGACTGGCCGCCGGAGGCTCCACTAGGTACCAGGAGGAAAAGACCCAGTGAAGCCAGGTGGGCGGCGCAGCCAGATCTCCTCGTGCAGGCTGCCCTGCACGAAAGCTGTGCTGAAGTCAAGAGATTGCAGCTCGTAGTCACGCTGAGCAGCTATGTGCAGTAGCACCCGAAGAGTGGACATCTTCGGGGTGGGAGAGAAGGTCTAAAAGTAGTCAACTCCCTGCCGCTGACTAAAGCCTCGAGCCACGTAGCGCGCCTTGAAGACAGGTGGAGAGCCCGGCGGCCGCTTCACCCGGAAGATCCACATGCCACTGACGAT